TGTTTTAATAAGAACACAGAGAATATTTTATAGTATTGTTGGTAATTAGATTTTGTGCTATTTCAAATACAATAAGAAGCTCTTCTTTGCAGTTTCTTTTTTTTTTTTACAAAGAAGAGTGTATTAATGTGTTTCTTTAGTAACTTAAAGAAGACAATCTTAGAAGTAGAATTAAAATTTTCTATCTTCTGATTACTTAGAAGAACAATGACTTCACTATATCCTAAGCTATACACTGTAAGTTTTGTATTGAGTTATGTTTTACTGAAAAGTTTGGCAAAGTTTATTAATCTTCTAGTGAAGATTGGCTATGGGGCCCAACAGATGATTCTCTTTCTTGGGAAATGTACATTTACTCAAGATAGTATGGGCTGGACTTGGAGTGCATAAATTAAAGGCAAAAGGGATAGAGAGAAAGAAAACCTACAATCTTAGCAATATTTTTTTAAAACAAGGTAAACCTCAATTTATAATCCAAATTCATTTTTCTATAATATACAACTATTAGAGGTGATAATGATAATACCAATTGATTTTATAGAAAGTCAACACTACTTGTGATGTTACAAAAACTAAAATGCTTACTATTTCGTAGTTATTGTCACTATCACCAGAGTAAAACAAAAGAATATGCTAAGCAAATGTTGTATTATTATCCATTGGTGTAAAATACCCTGGATTCCCTACTCATCAGCTCTTTGTCCTGATTAAATTCTGGACATTCAATGACTCCTCATAAACTTGGATCATGCTGTTATTCAGAGGATTCAGTTCTTGGCCATTAACCATAGTTTTCATTCTTCTTTTTTTCTAGATTCATGTCCAAAGAGGAGGATTTTTCAACTATCACATTTCAAGAACATCAGAATCATAGATAAATGTAGAAGGTTATATTTGTTTTATATTCTTTGTACAAAAAATGTACTCCTCCTCACCAAATATCTGCCTCCTGAAATACTAACCTCAAATTAATATTTTGTGGGTATTTTTTATAAAAGACAAAGTCTGTTACTTATAAAGTTGATTTTTAAATGTTTTAATTAAAAGAGTGAAGAAAAAGGTGTTTAGAGGAGTCTCAAGCATAGACTTTTTTTATCCATTTAAAATCTCATCAGATCATTTATAAACTCCTCAACATCTAGGCTCCTAGTAATAATCACTCTTATTTCTTCCATGTCTACCAAATGGTTTATGCGTATCTGCACACTTAAAATTTACCACCTTGATAATGTGAATTTTCTTCTGCCTTAAGAAGACCGTTGTTATTTCTCCTTCCTTTTCTGTTCCCCAAGAAGGAATGTTTCATTAAATAAAATTAAATATTGTATCTTTATACTACATAGTATGTCTATAGTATGTATAAACTATTTAATGTATTTTAATAGGAAAAATATAATTGTATAATAATAACTAGCACAAATTTAACACTTGCTTTGAGCCAGGCATTCAGTGAAGTCAGTACTATTATTAACCCCATATCCAAATGATAAAATTGAGGTTCATAAATGTTAAATAGCTTACCAAAGGCCAAACATCTAATACATAGTTTTCTTGGGATTAAAGCCCAGGTCATTTGGCTCTAGAGTGTGTACCTCAACATTATGCTTCTTTTAGTATGTTTCAGTAAATCATCAGGTTTTCTTATGAAAATCAATCACTTTCTTTTTACTTGAAGGAAATCAAGGTGAAATGAAGAGCACAGATTTTGAAATTAGATAGACCTTGGGTTCAAATCCTGAATATGCTTTTTAATAGCTCCAAACAGTGGGAATATTATTCGACTTTCTGAACAACTATATATTCATTTGCAAAATAGGGATAATTATACTTTATAAGGTTGTGGTAAAGATGAAATTAAACTACACAGATCGAGAGATAGAACCTGGCATCCTTTTGCCATTTAGCTGAAATATTGCAGACACGTAAGATTAGTGAGAAGAGATGAATTATTCAATAAATTATGTTTGATCAATATCCTAATCAATTAAAGTTTTTTTTAAAAGAATCACATGCTATACCAAAACTTATAGATGGATTAAAACTGTCAATATGGTTTTTAAAATACTGGAAGTAAAAGACTAAGGCAATTCCAAGATCATAAACATAAAAAGGAAAAGAACAATTCATCCACTTAACTAGATAAAAACATAATATGTTTGTTTATCAAAAGGCAAAATTTCTTAAATCACCTCTGAGAGGAAAAGTTATACATAACACATTCAAGAGATAAAAATTTAATGCATTTAATTTGTGATGAGGTCTTTCAAATCCAAAAGGAAAAGACCAACTCCCAATTGAAAATAACGGAGCTTATGACTGACTAATTTACAAGAGAAGAAACTGAAACGCTCATTCAACATATAAGAAGAGACACTATGTCAGCCAAAAAAATATGAATTTAAAAGGCCTCTTGTTTCAGAAGTGTTCTGTAGTTTTTAGGGTATATTTTGAGACCCATTTGAATGGTAAATGGTTCTCCAACCTTTTATTTTCAGGTTGTAGGTGTCCTTCTGTCTAAAATGAGTCTCTTGTAGACAGCAAATAGATGGGTCCTGTTTTTTTATCCAGTCTGAAACTCTGCGCCTTTTGATGGGGTCATTAAGCCCATTCACGTTCAGAGTTACTTGAACTTCTTCTTAAAGGGGAGTTTTAAGAGTCCCCCTTAAAATTTCTTGCAGAGCTGGTTTGGAGGTCACATATTCTTTCAGTTCCTGCCTGTCTTGGAAGCTCTTTATCTCTCCTTCCATTTTGAATGAGAGCCTTGCTGGATAAAGTATTCTTGGTTGCATGTTCTTCTCATTTAGGACCCTGAATATATCCTGCCAGCCCTTTCTGGCCTGCCAGGTCTCTGTGGAGAGGTCTGCTGTTACCCTAATATTCCTCCCCATGAAAGTCAGGTACTTCTTGTCTCTTGCTGCTTTAAGGATCTTCTCTTTATCTTTGGAATTTGCAAGCTTCACTATTAGATGTCGAGGTGTTGAACGGTTTTTATTGATTTTAGGGGGGGATCTCTCTATTTCCTGGATCTGAATGCCTGTTTCCCTTCCCAGATTGGGAAAGTTTTCAGCTAGGATTTGTTCAAATACATATTCTGGCCCTCTGTCCCTTTCGGCGCCCTCGGGAACCCCAATTAAACGTAGGTTTTTCTTCCTTAGAGTGTCATTTATTTGCCTTAATCTGTCTTCATGGTCCCTTAATTGATTGTCTCTTTTTTCCTCAGTTTCCCTCTTTGCCATTTACTTGTCTTCTATGTCACTCACTCGTTCTTCCACCTCGTTAACCCTCGTCGTTAGGACTTCTAGTTTGGATTGCATCTCATTCAATTGATTTTTAATTTCTGCCTGATTGGATCTAAATTCTGCAGTCATGAAGTCTCGTGAGGCCTTAATGCTTTTTTCTAGAGCCACCAGTAGCTGTAGAATAGTGCTTCTGAATTGGCTTTCTGACATTGAAGTGTAATCCAGATTTTGTAACTCTGTGGGAAAGAGGGCTGTTTCTGATTCTTTCTTTTGAAGTGAGGTTTTCCTTCTAGTCATTTTGCTCAGTGCAGAGTGGCCAGAAACAAGTTGTATTGGAACACGGGGGAGTATCACTGGTCCCTCTAGCTGGTCTTCTGGGGGAGGGGCCTGCTGCGCTGATTTTCAGGTGTTAGCACTTGGGGGAGCTGCTCTGCCCCTGCCTGCTGCAGGGCTCAGCGGGGGTTGTTTACCCCGTGGGGCCCCAGGTGGAACAGTCGCAGTTGCTATGGCAACTCTGGAAGCCTGGATTCAGCCTCCGCAGGAACTACGGGGCTCGGGGCTCTCGGTTCTCCGTCCGCAGGGCCTGGAGGCTCCGGGGCGGGGCCGCTGATCTGCTCAGCTCGGGGCAGGAGCGTCTTCGCTGTCTCGGGCCCTCCCGGCCTCTGCCTGTCCCGGGGGAGGCCGGATCCTGGGCTGTGTCCCGGCGCCCTGTGCTCCGGGGCCTGCGCTGGTGGATTCGCGCTCCCGCCCCGCAGCTCCCTCCCTGGAGCCGCTCCCGAAAAATTTCCTCAATTATATATATTATATATATATATTATATATATTATATATGTGTGTATGTATATATATACTTGTATATATATACATATATACATATATATACACATATATATACACATTTGTGACTATTTCAAAGGTGAGATCAAACAAATAAGCAGACATCCCAACAGCAAACTGTTTCTTAGGGGTTGATTTTTAAAAGGACTGACTCATTATGATCACAATAAGTATTTTTAACAGATAATTTAAATTCTGAGTCTTTTGATTTGCTATTTATCATAAGTAAGTCTGACACATATTCTTTTGCAGTGGCAATTGTAGATGTAGAAGAAAATAGTAGAAACAAACAGAAAAGTTAAGTAGTAATCACTGAAATATCAAAGTATAAGATAGGAAGGGCATAGTTATGTACCCATGAAAACATCATTTGCTTCTGTGTAACAAAGAAATGATGGAATGAATCAGTAAGTGGCAAAATAAATGGAAAAAGAAACCGTGAAATGCCTACAGAAATGTATTTATGAAATAAACTTTCTTCTTGAACAGCACACTTCTTGAACAGCATTTTTTTACACATTTCAGAACACATCTGCATTTTTTCCACCACTTCTCACACGACAAATACTCAATGAAACCAAAAGGCAAACGGAAAACTCAATAAGGCAGATTTCTACAAACTGATGGTGTCCAAGGAATTCACCCAAGGTACTTATTACATATTTAGATTCCCAGGTTCCACCTACACTTGCTGAGTCTTAGTGTCAGTAGGAAGTTTCTTGCAATTGGGCAAGATTTGCAAGCATGCAGTACATTATAAAAACATACAATAAATGTCACCCATACTGATTAACTACCCTCCTTCTTAAGAGTTGAGAAAAAAGAGGGAACAGTTCTGACTCAGTTATTTTCGATTGTTTGGTCCAATGCAGAATGGCAGAAAATGTTCAAAGTTTCTGTTTAATATCCAAATAATATACTTACTACAGTTTTCAGCTTTCCTGTTATCCCGGATCACTATTCTTTGGTTGATAGTGCTGAAGAGTGTTGTCCAATTAATGGTATGATAATAACACAGGTTGCTGTTGTCAGTAATGTAGATGTTTCCCGCACTGATTTCCTTCAGGGATTGGAATTGTAGAGAAGTGATGCCCTGTTGCTTAAGGATAAGCAAGGAGAGGCCACTAAAGAGAAGGAAGGGGGTAAATGGAACAATACTTAATATGTATATTTTAATAAATTTTTTCTTACATACATTCTTGAAGTAAAATAAGGATGTCACATTTTACTCCAAAAAGAATGATAGTAGAACATAAAAAAGAGACTGAGTCACTTAATTGTGATCTGAGTATTATTTCTCTACATGCTATATATAATGAGTTTCAAAAGGAACCATTTGACCTCCAAAAGGAGACTATTTACTTGTTAGAAGTATAAATATTAATGATATCTCTCTGTCTACATATTTACCACTGACATATCTGCTCACTATTTTTCCTACTATCCCCCCAGTCTCAGGTTCCTCAAGGATGAAATTGTGTTTTAAAACTAAATAATTATGGGATCCCTGGGTGGCTCAGTGGTTTAGCGACTGCCTTCAACCCAGGGCGTGATCCTGGAGTTCCAGGATTGAGTCCCACATTGGGCTCCCTGCATGGATCCTGCTTCTCCCTCTGCCTGTGTGTCTGCCTCTCTCTCTCTCTCTCTCTCTCTCTCTCTCTCTCTCTCTCTGTGTGTGTGTGTGTGTGTGTGTGTGTCTCTCATGAATAAATAAATAAAACCTTTTTAAAAATAAAATAAAATAAAACCAAGTAATTAGGGGAATCTGGCTGGCTCAGTTGGAGGAGCATGAGACTCTTGATCTCAGGGTCATGAGTTTAAGCCTCATGTTGAATGTCGAGGTTACTTAAATAAATAAAAACTTTAAAAAGCTAAATAATTAATGTTTATGGAATGATTATTCATCTACTAAAGTAAGACATTAATTCTACTCAATTTAATAAATTTAGACATGCTTTCAGAGGGTAAATATTACAGAGGATGACTATAGATATGCAGCTTTAATTTATACCTCAGAAGCCGAAGCATAATTGTAATAGTTGAAGAATGTATGAGTAGGGATAGGAAGCATTAAAAATTAAAGAGAAGAATGAAATTAAGCTAAAAGTTTAAAAAAAATACTCAGAAGGCTTGGACAACTGGGGAAAGCATCTCTAAAAGTTAAATAACAACTATACTGGGGAAACAAATTACCATTTCAAGGAAATTATTTTTATTTTAACATATTCTATATTTTGTAATTAAAGTCCTTTCCCATTCTCTAAAGAATCATCTGTTTCCCACATTCCAATCAACTAATGAACAATATTTCACATTTTGGATATCAAAGCTGTCCCCTTTTATTTTATTTATAAATCTAAATATACTTTGCTGCCAATACTCAGAATTTTTTCCATGTTTTTGCGTGTGTATGTGTATATATATATATGTGTGTGTGTGTGTATGTATATATACATACACATACACACATCTATGTATATACATATATACAGATTACATGATTATATATATATACACACACACATATACCTACATATATACCTATGTACATATATGCGTGTATATAAAACTCCGTACATGTGTATTTATTTGACCGAGATGTAATTCATTCTCTGAATCTGTGTTCCCATCATAACCATCTTAAGTTGTTTGTTACGATGTGAACATAATAATGTTTGACAGATTTTTAACATTTGATTCAATGGATAGTAAAATTTGGTTGCATGTAGCACTTGAATAAAGTGAATCTCTCAAATATAGTTTTTTATTGAGAACTTTTCCAATTTACAGTTTTAAACCTCTCACAAAAAAAAAAAACTCTTACAGATCTTATTTTAATAGCAAAATTCTGTGGACTTTCTGTGAAATGTTATCATGGGATATTTGATGACAATATTGATTTAAGGCATCTTTCAGATTTAAGTAGAAAAAAAGAAATCTAAATCACTTTATGTAAATCAACCTTTAACTGTTCATAAATAAGAATCTCACACAGATGAAATCTAAAATTAAGTAAAATAAAGCAATGGCTTAATAAATATTAACTCACATATTTTTATTATGTGAATTAAAATACTGATATTAGACTTTAGAACAGTGTGCTTCTGAGCCCTGATTTTTCCACCTATTATTAACCAGCATTGCATGTAGAGTGGTGGACCAAGTCCTGAAATATCAGATCCATGATTCAGGGCTCAAATGATGGCATCAGGACAAGACAAGAATTTCCTGGTAAAACAGCATTTTTAACCTATACACTTAAGCCATTATCAAGTCATCCCATGGTAGTTTTTAGTTATGATTTAAAAAGTTCAAAAAAAAAGGTTCAATTTTATGCATTTCATGCCAGCAAAACACTAATATTGCTTTAAGTGAGAGGCAGTTGAAAAATCAAATTGTTCATTCTGCATACTTTATTTATTTTGTAGCTTGCCTCCTTTAAAGAACAACCAGGGGCATTTTTCATTGGGCTTACCTTTGGAATTAAAAATGGAAACCCACTATTTCTAGATTCAGTGAGGCTGAAAAATTGACATATGTACACATGATGCTACTCTTGAAATCAGGAAGACCTGCATCTCTGAATGTATACACCCACCTATAGAGTACTCTTCCACCAATGGTCACCAGGTTGGAAAAAACACTGAAGTCGGTCATGTTTGGAGGCCATGACTGTATGTTCAAGAAACCTAAAACAGATAAGGGCAGTAGAAAAAAACCTTCAGAATCTTATCATTATCTTAATGACTGTTTTAATATTGAGTGTCCTTGAAATATGATGAATATGTCTTGAAATACAGGAAGTAAAAAAATAAAAGACACTTAATAGTCCTAATTTGAGTCATTCTATTCTATCTCACAGTTCCTCTTCCAAGATAGTGTCTTACCCCAAGCTCCTGGGCCACAATGATCAATAGATAATGAATATCAAACTAATGAGCACAAAAATCTAGGTTTCTCAAACACACAGAGTCATAGAACTATATAAAAAGATTTAAATGATCTTTAATTTTATTCTTCTAAAATCAAAAATATTTAGTCTAATTACATAAAGAGAAAAATACAGCTTTAACTTGTCTGGAAATGCTTGACCACTTTATCTCAACACTTATGACAGCACATGTCTACATTGCAGCCTAATGCATTCATGCAGATGCACAGTATTTCTCATTTAATTTTTCATTCTTTGATAGCAAATCCATATCCGATTCATGTCTATGAGTCTCCTATAAGCTACTATCTAACAGCCCTGGACATATTAAGTGCTCATTGAACATGTGCTAAATGAGTGCCACATATTATCAATGCTCAATAGTACTTCTTGTGAAAAAGTAAATAGAAAAACATGGATCAAAGATCAGTTGACACAAACACAGTAACATAAAAATGTCAAGGATATTTTATTTTATAAATTCTATGGGCTTTCAAAATGTACACAAATGCTAAGGAATAATATCCATCACTTAAAGTGACATGCATTTTCAAAACTAGTATTTGCTTTGAAAATAAGTTGCTGATTTCAATATTATGCAATATTTTCAAGAAAACACTAGAATTCATATAGTCCATAACACAACAGTTGTACTTTAAAAAATTACCCGTTATCTCTCGAACTGTGCGGAAGACATTCAGTTTCTCTGGGTCTATGGCTTCAATTGCATTGTAAGGGTCTCTAGAGAATCAAGAGATACAGCCAAATTTTAAATTAGATAAAGGAGGGAAGACATAAGAAATGTGACTATAGTTATTTCACCCAAATTGAATTTTAAGTAACAATAGAAAGATAAGCAATGTCTTGTCCAAAGATTTTATGCTACATGTGGAGGATTAAAAGGTGCTTTGAGGACATTTATGGTGACATAAAATATGAGTTCCTCAATGAAAGCTATTCTAGATCTAGAGGAATGGCCCAGTTTGACTATCCTAAAGGAACCTCCAAATATAACAAATCCATTTAAAAATAATTTTATATTACCCATAAAGATTTTTTTTTCTTAATTGGGAAGAGTATACTCTGCAAATAATAATGATGAAAACAATTGCTTTTGGGGCTCCTCGGAGCATCCTCAATTACTAAAAGCACTTACAATTTCATAAGATTGATAAAAAGAAACACATAAAATCAATTTTTCTTCTTTCCTATATCCTTATATTTATTAGTGAATTTTCATAACATTATATGAAAATTACTCTTCATAAGGATTACTTAGAATATTCTTGTTCCAATCTGGTTTATTTATATTTGCTTTTATAGCACAGGAAATATTTGCTTCCATCTTTATGAATCATAATAATATCTAAAATAAAGTCTATAATAAATTTAATAATATCCAAAAGGTATAAATTTTGGAGATTTAAAAAATACCATCTCTTATGGCGTAAATATATTTTTGCAATTAATGTTATTGATATATAGATGCCCTGTCTTTTCAAAATGAACATAAAATAACCTTTTAAAATTAAATATTTATTGAATTTTTAAGAAGTTTTCTTCTTAGGAAGATACTTTCTATGTTTAATATATTGACCATACAAAATAACTGCATACTTGCAAATAACAGCAAACATTCCTGGGTAATTCAAGCAGTATTTTCAGCTGATTAAAGGAATACATCTTTTTTTAAGTTTCATTACTTTGTTCTGGGCAAGTAAAGATCTCATATCAATGTACACCCTCCAGAGAAAAATTAAATTATATTCATTAACCACTTCTCCAAGAGAGAGCAAACTTAAGAACAATGAACTTCGGTTGTTTTAGAAGCATGTATCCATCCGTAGCAATCAACTGAGCCTTAGTCTTGCTGTGGACATCTGTTGTTTTACATGTTTGAGAACCTTCTTTTTCATTTGGGAAGTAAACAATAAGATACAATGATATGTTAGATACGGCTTTAATAGGGAGAGTATTCAGGTTGCTTTACAGCCCCCTGACAAACAGAAAGGCATACAGCTGGTCTATCTTCTAGGAATTTGAGTCTGAACCCAATGACATTAATTCATTCTTCCATTAGAACCTTGCAAACAGGGATCCCTGGGTGGCGCAGTGGTTTGGCGCCTGCCTTTGGCCCAGGGCGCGATCCTGGAGACCCGGGATCGAATCCCACATCGGGCTCCCGGTGCATGGAGCCTGCTTCTCTCTCTGCCTATGTCTCTGCCTCTCTCTCCTTCTCTCTCTGTGACTATCATAAATAAATAAAAATTCAAAAAAAAAATTCTAAAAAAAAAAAAAAAAAAAAAAAGAACCTTGCAAACACTATTAGTTCTAACAACCTTCATCTCTCAACTTGGCTCTCTCAACTTGGTTCATCTGCATATGCTTCTATACTTCCATATTACATCTTAAAAAAATAAAACAAAACAAAACAAACAACACTCTGCTTGATTAAATACTGTTTCAATCTATGAAGTGTAATTGATTCAATGTACCACTAGTTTAAGAGGGAGTGTCATAGAAGGCTTGGAGAAACACTATAAATGAGTTTCCCCATAATTCACACATAATTAATAATTTTCTCAATGTGATATGAATGTGTCTCAAAAGCTTAAAGTCTAAATTAAATGTTCTGGCAAACTTGCTCTATTTATAACTGGAGATAAATCGAACAAATAACTACTCTTTTGATTAATGTGAAGCCAAAAAATTAAGTCCTCCATGCGGGAAAAATCTTGTTGTTATCATTTTTTTAATGTGCAAAGACTTTTGTATCCAGGGAAAAAAATCTGCTCTGCAGTAGTAGAATGCGCTTTCACCATTTGTTGTTTGATGAAAAGCAGTATAGAGAACAGCTCTGGTCATATAATCAAATATCTTGGCTTTATTGAGAAACACTCAAAATTCAGGGCAAGCACACAATAATGGGGTCAGTCCAAACCTTTACTGAGAACACTTCCAAGTTGCCAGGAATGAAATGAATTCTGGACTGTTCATATGAAGCCCAATGGACCACAGAAATTTTATATACTTAATTTTAGAGATTCAGGACTCTCATAAAATAAGTTGACAGATTCCTACTTACCAACTTCAAAGTACCTGCAGGGATTTGCATCCTATAGCCACCTGAAATCCATAGTCCTTTAAAACTGAGAACGTCCCTAGCTAAATGCTGAGCCATGTGTAAGAACTTTATGTCCACCCTGTTACTGTGTTCAGTGATCCAAGATAAAGTTCAGGATAGAGAAACATATTTTTACAATTCCATTGAAATCGCTTTATTTTTCACCAAACCCATTTCTCTTTTCTATTGTATATCATCATTATATGCTTCTCTAAGTGTTTTCTTGCTTGTGTCTCATTGCAACGCAGCATGAACATGCTTATTTGGTGAGCATTTTGTTACTCTAAGTACATGATATGACTATTACCAAAAATGACAAGAGATGAAAAGTGAACATTCCTAGGGCTAACCCTAAACGCAGGTTTCCCTGTGGTTCTCACTCTAAATAAAGGAGTAAGCTTGTCTAGTCTATTTCTGGCAATGACACCACTGTATTATAAACTTAATGTGCCAATTAACTTTTTTGAGTTCTTTTATATGTTAAAATTGTAATTGACGAATTGACAGTAGGTTTACTTTTTGTAGAAACTTGTTTTTTAAAAGCATAATCTCATCTAATTATGGATTTTACCTAGTAGCTTAAAGAAATACCTTAGCTATTTTACTCAAACCATATAGTCTATGAAAAAATAGTAGAAGACTGAGGGTAATGGGCATTAAGTGAGTAAAAATGTGTCTTTAATGTACTAGAAGTTTTAGCTTATAATACTCCATGTTACATTTAAAACCTCTCCTGTATACATTGTATACATAATACACATAATGCCTATACATTTATAAGATGTCTTAGATCTACTAAATTATCTTTTTATCAATACCTCCCTAAGATCAAGAGAAAGGTTTCAGGATATTTGTTTTGTATTGGAATAAAACTGGGTATGAAAAATATCATATACCACATATATATTTGTCCTGGAAAATGCCTTCTATATTATGGTTGGGACACAATAATATTAATTATAAATGTTAGTATTAAAATATACCAGGTTGGACGCCTGGGGTGACTCAGTGGTTGAGTGTCTGCCTTCAGCTCAGGCTGTGATCCTGGCGTCCTGGGATCGAGTCCCACATCGGACTCCCTGTGTGGAGCCTGCTTCCCCCTCTGTCTGCGTCTCTGCCTCTCTCTCTCTCTCTCTCTCTCTCTCTCTCTCTGTGTGTCTCTCATGAATGAATAAAATCTTTTTTAAAATAAATAAATACATACATACATACATACATACACCAAGTTAAGTGCTATGATTAAGAAGAAATAATAATCTTATGAACTAAGGAGTATCGCTTATTATAAAGGAAATATTGCCACGCCAATAACTTTGCCTTTATTTGGTTTTCAGTTGTCTACAAAATAATGTTACACTGCATGTTGTGCTATAACTAGATATAGTCGTTGAGATTTTTATTTAGCGCTGCCTTCTCCTCCTTCTCTTTTTAAAAATTCTCTCTCTCCCTTTTGTCTCTTCCTCCCTTCCTCCCCCCGCCGTTTCCTTTTCTTTTTTTATAACATTAATGTTTTACAATATGCCAGATACTTGGGTGAGCACTAAAAAATAATTTTTGTTTTTAATCTCTACACTAACCAGAGAAGGTAGGTATTTATTATAAACCCAATTCTCGGAATATAAATAATAGTGAAAGGGAAGGGAAGGGAGAAGAAATGTGTGGGAAGTATCAGAAAGGGACACAGAACATAAAGACTCCTAACTCTGGGAAATGAACTAGGGGTAGTGGAAGGGGAGGAGGGCGGGGGGTGGGGGTGACTGGGTGACGGGCACTGGGGGGGGGCACTTGACGGAATGAGCACTGGGTGTTATTCTGTATGTTGGTAAATTGAACACCAATAAAAAATAAATTTATTAAAAAAATATATAAACCCAATTCTCAACTTTACATTGGAAGAAACTGAGCATGTGACACATGATGGAAGCCAAGAAACTCAGTAAACTTGTCTACGGTTAGAGCCTCAGATCAAACTCTAGTCTAGTTTGGATCATATTACTGAAGTAGGAACTTTAACTCTTACTTTCTGAGCTCATTTTTAAGAGAGGCTTTGTTTACCTTTCTATTTCTAATCATGTGAGTCAATTTTCTATAATTCATTTTCTCCTGAATGAATTAGTAAGCTTGTTTTCCTTGAAAGTCTAGATTAGTCTTATACTTTGTAATGATTCTTCTCATACATTTGTGACTATAAGGTGTCTATTGTGCAATATATTCTTATGTCTGGACATTACTGATTCCCTTTTCTTACATTCTGTTTATTAATATTCCCCTATTCTGGATGTTAGATGATTCATTTTATGCAAAACCACTTTACAATTAGTATAAATCTAGGCTTTTGATAAATATGCTCCATAAGGAACTAAGATTATAATAACAATGTTGAAGTATATTAGGTTGTCTTTGTCAAATTTCCCCACGCATGTTTTACCTACAACAGTAACCATCCCTGGGTTGCTTTTGTTGGTTCGTAATCCTGCAAGTATCACAGAATTCTTGTGGTGGTTCTCCATGGGGTCAATATTTCCCCCAAAAAAGGGAAGTTGGGACATGTGTAGAGGCGTATCAGTTGTAACAGAGATTGGGGGACATTATAGACTTTTAGTAATAACCCCCAGACAAGGAAATTAAATGTCTTTCACAGCAAAGGTTTGCTTCATGTCTTGAGCAACCTTAAAATGTCCCACCCAATTAAGGACTCATGTACACAAACTTCATAGTTGTTTATACCATGACTGTGTGTAATTCTGTAATCATGTCGCCTCTATTTGAATGGTATTTATTTCTGTCTTCCTCTTGTCATATAACAATGTCTGTTACTTATTTCCTATTCTAGTGGTCAGCTGTTCCTCTGCTCTTTATTTCCCCATACTTCTCGTGCAGAATGACTTCTAATATTATTTCTCATACAAACCTTAATTATAAGTAGAAGCTAAGCATTTTCCCATCAATGCATACTTTATTATACATTACTTTTCTTGCATTTTTTCTTTAAATCACAATTAGAGAATTAGAACCACTTCATAAAATTATATAGATAGGTAGGTTATATTATCTATGATTTTTATTTCCAAATTCAAAAATAAGTAGGAATACACTTAATATATAAAAGATGGATGTTGGGTCTGATTAGTATGAAAACAATTTCCCTAATGCAATTTATGAGACTATGTTTTCCAATCTTTCCCCACATTGATGGACTTGAGGCCAATTCCTTCATTATACGTGTGTGGAAGCAGACAATGCGAATTAACTAGGTGTGTCTTCTTATTTCTCAGAAGATTCTGTTAACATAATAGGATCTTTCATTCATTGTGGTATTAGGTTTTGAAAATAGTTACAATGTGGATATATTGTTTTAGTAAATGTCATATATGCATTCAATTATGCATATGACCTAAAGATTTACCCAGGTCACCTACCCAGTGGGCCAAGGAGGTGAGGACGGCAATGTAAATGGATTCAGAGGGTTAGTAGCAACTCAGGTAAATCTGGTTTGTCCTATCTCAAAATGGCTAAGACCACCCATCTCCAACAGATTGTTGCCGTGTAGGAGTATGTGCTAAGAGTAACCAATTCACCATGTTATTAAAGAGAATTTAGAAACCTTAACCACATATATATATATTTTAAACATTGCTTGGGCTGAATATAACATATATGGGGCAGAAAGTGTGTACACACCATTACAGTATCTGGCATGAACCCATATTAAAAGCTACATTTTAAAGTAAAGAAATGCTTTATGCAATTTATTTGTATGGAAAGAAACACTTTGTTCTATTTCTCTTGCTGTTCCTATTTGGACATATTTATTCATAATGTGTTAAATTATTTTGCTTCTAGAAATGATTTGATATATGTTTAGAGTTAAGATTTTGAACTGAAATATGTGAGTAATATTCTTTATCTGTAGCCTGTAGCACTAATATCTAGGGATTAAGAGTAATACAGATAAATAGATAAAATATAAAGTAAAAATATTGACATCTTTATTACAATTGAAAGCATACAAACTTAGTTGTTTTCCCAGTTAAAACCAGCAGGTGGTTCTGTAATGAAGAAACCCGGAAAAATGTTAACAATTTTTATTGCTAAAATGAAATTCATTTACTAGATCTCCTGTACTAGTATTAATTTCCTAACCTAAGAGAAAGAGAAGAAGATACATCAGGGCAAAAAGAATTTCTGAAAGCTCAAGAGAATTTCAACTTACTGATTTGTTTTCTACGAGATGCATTTTAAAAGGAACATTAATTTATGTTGTCCTGAACTAATCAGTTAGGAATTTCAATGAAATTCCTCACTTCACTCATTGACATGGTTTCCCTAAACATATCTAAAAATGTATCAATCTTTCTGAAATCTGTGGATTTGAGAATATCCTATAAATATATTTTAGTTTATATATAAATTTATATTGCCAAATCTAAGTAGTTACTAAACTCATAGTCTATGTATCTTAAAACTGTGGTTGCTACTTTCACTGCTGATAAAATCTGACATTTTATTTTGTTGGAGAAGAGCATTAATGTAGGGCAGAACTCATCTGGCACAAAACGAATCAAACAGACAAAGCTAAAGAATCTCTTAAGGTTTGTCTACACTTTGTAAAATAATTTTCTACAAAAATTTAATACTGACCCATGAATACCAGTGACAAGGAAGATCAAATTCCCATTGATTTTGGTGCAGTTTATGAATTTGTCAATGTTACTGGAATCCACAGTCTGAGCCGACATCAATGATCCTGTGCCGATGCCATCACAAGCTGTAGAAACAAGACTCACAGTCAAGGAGTTGAGAAACTTTGTGTTCAGTCAATAGATCTATTGCATTTTTATTGTAAAATAAGAGTATTTTTTCATTATAAAATGAAAAAAGTTCATCATAAGAAATAAATTGTTTTCCAACAAATAAAATAATAATTTATTCATGTAACATTAATTGCTGGGCCTGCTATAAAACATTGCCCCTGCATTATAGTCTAGTGACCATGACATAAGAATCATATCTTATATCAAGTCCCAGGATACCCACACAACACAGGCGTAACTAAAACAAAATTTTTATCAGTACTTGCCTTTGCCACATTAAATCAACTATTTTCTCATCCACCCTAAGATATCATTTTTATTACTTTTAAATCCTGATCACTTAAGTAAAATAATTTATACAAACTGGTTTTAAAAACACTGGTCTAATTAACCATGTATATTAGCGTACTAATGATGTAGGTTTTAACCAGAATCAAGAGCCCTTTAAGGATTTAGACTTAAATTCTTCTTTTTAAGATTTTATTTATTTATTTGAGGGGGAGAGAGAGAGAACACAAGCAAGGGAGGGTAGAGGGAGAGGAAGAGGGAGAAGCAGACCCCCAGCTAAGCACAGGCACAATGTGGGGCTCAATCTTAGGACCCCTGAGCCCTAACTGGCTGAGCCACCCAAGCGTCCTACACTTAAATTCTTAAATTGACTATTACCTGTACTTTCTGAAGGCTCTACTTAAAAACAAAACAAGCAAGATAAAGAGTGTAGGGTGGGGGGGAGAGAGACAAGAGGGAAGAGAAAGAGAATGTAGTCTAAAAGTAAGTCTGAAGTTTGCCCTTTTTAAAGGCCATCTTTGGGGCACCTGGGTGGTTCAGTCCTTAAAGGTCTGTTCAGCTCAGGTCATGATCCCTGAGCCCTGGGATGAGCGTTGCCTCAGGCTCCTTCTCAGCAGGAAGTCGGTTTCTCCCTCCCTATCTGCTGTTCCCCCTGCTTGTGAGCCTGCTCTCTCTCAAATAAATACTTTTTTAAGGCAATCTTTGATACTTTGGAAGGCTTACTATCTTTCAGAAAATTTGGACTGTACTTACATCCTGTTTAGTTTCATTCGAGTGAGGAATTTGAACACCATAGCTAGAAGAGATTTCTTTCTCCACTAAAAGTCTGTAACAGGAATTATCTGCAAGATTTATTTAATACTTACGGTAATTTCCTTGTTATTTTACATATTTAATCTTTCAAAATGGTTCTGAAGACCCGGAGGTTTAAGTATCGTGTTATTTGTCTCTTTGTATCCCTTCATATACATAGCAGATCATTAAGCCTACAGTGGCAAGTAATTAATATGGGTTCTTGGTGCTAAAATAATCAAGCAATCCCTTGTTGTGTGCATAACTTCTAAGATTAGCTACATATAGAATAAAATGGAACTTCTTTCCTGAGTTTCTATCAAAGCTAACTCCCAGTTTAACCTGGATCATTTAGCATACATTATTCGAAATCAATAATATACATTGTTAAGACAGTTGATACTTCATGAGATTATTCAAAGTCATGGAAAAGTATGTACATGTAAGAGAGGTGAACTTAGCCAGTCTTTTAAAGAATAAATGGAAAAACCTTGGAGTAGGTCCCTCTTCTAGCCAAAGTAATCTCCGCTATCACTCACCTTTTGGGCAAATATCAGTGCAAGGTTTACACATTTTAATCCCATTTTCTTCTACTTCCATCTTGGAACTAGGGCAGGCACGCACACAAGAACTGGAATCCACCACAAAGTTATCTGATTAAAAAAAGAAACAGTAAAATTAGCAACAATGCTGATGTTTAGCAAACAAGTTTAAAACAAAGTACTTTAGGGCTTAACAATGTTTAGCATCATTGATAGTATACATGTCTCTTTCCCTAAAATATCCCAGTTTAAATATCTCAACTTGAAATAGAATCTATGAAAATCCACATTCAAATCCAAGGGCAGCATGTGTTAACAACAGTTAGTACTTGCTTGACTACTGCTCCACATCCTGAATTGCCCCCAAGATAGAGTGAATTTCTTTTATAGACTTAGGAAACTACATGACATTTAGTTTGTGTTTTTCAATAGTTCCACTTCATTTCATGTCATGATGCAAGTCTGAAGTCTAAAAATACTTCAAGTTACATGAAGCACAAATGAAGCTGAAGTTGAAGTGCCTTGGATCAAGAGAGTGTACTTCATATCCAGGAGGAAATGTTCAAAATGTGTTCTATCCTTCAATGGAATGCCATAGAAACTGTTCTATAGTTTTATATGAAAAAACAAAATGGAATTTGAAAGGCAGCACTTTAGGAAAGGTATACTAAATAAACCAGGAACGTCTGATTACCTATTATGTTGGTGAAATGTTTAGGGCTCCAGTGATCTGAAATATGCCAGGACATTGCCTCCGACCCCACCCCACACCCCTGCCAAAAAAAACAAAACAAAACAAAACAAAAAAACAATAACAAATTATTGCATTTAGAGCCTCCCACAGTAAAGGGAAAACACAATACCTGCTAGGCCACTTTATATTTTAAAGGCAGTATCCTTCCATGTGTAGGCATGCTGCTTCTAGCCTAATATATTCAGTGGTATGGAAGGCATCTGACTTTGAAGGGGGCTCAGATCAGGAAAGGCAAACGGTGTAGGTCTAGTCTGGGATGCAAGCATTTCTGATACATAAAATCCAAGAGGTGGGGTGACTGGGTGTTTAGTTGGTTAAGTCTCTGACTCTTGGTTTCACCTCAGCTCATGATCTTGGGGTTGTGGGATCAAGCCCTGGGTCAGACTACGTACACACTCAGCATGAAGTCTGCTTAAGATTCATGCCTCCTCATTCTCCCTTCTCCCTCTGCTCCTCCCCTGCTTGCTCTCTCTCTCTCTCTCTCTCTCTCTCTCTCTGTGTCTCTCTCACACATACACACATACACACACACACACACACACACAAACAAACAAACAAATCCAAGAGGCTATATGATATTAGGAATGTCTGTGGTGGAAAATATGCTGTATGGAGTTATGGCAAATCCCAGCTGGAAAATCATATCAGAGACTTCTAGGATTCTAGAGCTAAGCCATGGCATCTGTAGCACAGAATTTTACACCATTTAATAAACAGCTCCTCATATGCTTCTGGGTCCTGGTAGAAAGAGAGTGCCTAACCATGGGTCATTGATCGACCTTATATTAGAACTGCCCATCATAACTCAGCTTTTATTAGAACCATGATGTCATAATGTTGGGCAGGTCCAACAGGAATCCATTCTAAGACAGAAGCAGTGCATTTAGGATTGGATATGAGTCAGAGCAGAAGAACAAGTAAATTGCATAAGCAGGTGGCCCAGACTCCTTGTGCTGGCTCATGAGATTGAGCTCATACCGACGGCTGCATGGGGACCAAGAGAAGGCACCTGTGACAAGCTAAGGGAGGGAGGACAAAAACAAAGTACTAAGTTTGGTATGTGGGTGCAAGCAGCTCAAAATGAACGGCAGCTGCCCTGCAGCCTCACTCAGGAGGAGACTTGAAAGACAGTGGCAAGGAAAAAAATCCTACCAGTGGGCATGGTTCTGGGTAGTTCAAATGGTTGTTTACTTTGTATGGAAGTGACCTGAGCTTAGAATCAATATGGATTCATGAGCAGGGGCTGGCCCGGGGAGAAAAAATATTGGAAAATCTGGGATTGAAGGGAATCTGGGGTAAAGGGATGCATATGGATCCATGGGGGTGGGCGAGGTGTGATCTTTATATTTCCAGTTATCCACCAGAGGGCATCCACCACCAAAAAAGGTACATTGTTGCGACTGCATCACAGCCTGTTCCTTTCCTTTTCTTCCTCCTCCTGTGTTCATTTTGAGAATATTCCTCTTTAACAACCTAATCTCTGTCTGAAGGGAACCCAACCTGCAACAAGTGAATATACTGTGTATTATACAACCACCTTTCTGCAAGGCCTTCAGGAATACCCCATATTTAAACACTTCTACATTTTCCCAGCAATATATGCCAAGTGACGTAAATACAAATTATAAATACCCTCATATCAGCTAGGTTCAGATTTTGCAGCCAAATGAGTTTCGAAACCTATTTGTCTGGAGTTTTTTGATTTCAGAATTCTAGGTTAAGGATTGTAGAGCAGTATTTAGAAGCTAAATATCTTTGTTTTTCCAAGATAGTTACAGTTTAGCCAACCATGCATTAGAAGCAGGGCCCTTCAAATATTTGAAATTTACATAGATAAATCCTGAAGCGCTTTAAATTAGTCCAGTAATTTGATTGGCCTAAACTATTTCAAGAAAGGAAATTTAGGAGTTACCATATCTAAGGAAACTGGTATGTAATTTCACAAAATAGTTCGTGTTTAGCCACACTTGCCACAAGTTAGGTGTTGAAAGCGTGTATGCACAATTATTCTTTTAACCAACATAAAAAAATTAATAATAATGACTAGAATTGCCATTGTTTTCGAAGACTTGTTTTTATATACTATCCCTCTGATTCTTATTCCCCATCCCTTTGATCACTATAATAACTCCAGGAAAGAGAGAAGAGAGCTGTGATTGTTACCAGCCACATCTTAAAGAGGAGGATACAGCAAACTAAATAGTTTATTTAAAATCACATGAGTAATAAATGGGCAAAGCCAGAACCCATAGCCACTCTAAACCCACGTCCTTTATATTTCATATTTAATCACAGATACAAAGTAAAGAAAATCATAATAATGGTATGTTGTAGTTTGTAAGACTTTTTTCTTTTAAATGAGCATATGGACAAATGTAGTAGGGTTTTGTGGGGTTTTTTGTCTTGTTTGTTTTGTTTTGTTTTCAGTTTTTCCAATAGGTAAAACAATGAAAGAATAATGTCCCATCACTCTTTCCAAGCAAAGAAACTGACTGCTGTACATATGTAGACATATACTGAATTCTTGATGAAAGCTAAACTGGTCACTTTGAATCCCTAGGATGAGTTGTCAGTTTTGCAAAGACCTCTGAACATGCCCTTCAAATCTATTATTATTTAAGATTAGATTTGATATCAAAACTACAATGCTATAAAGTCTATTATAAATAAGTAATCAGAAACAATATTAGGTAGAAATTCATTGTGATTGCAAGCAGACCTCATTCACTACAAAACTTGCTCCCACATAACTAATCACTTTTCTGAGAAACAGCATCATGTACAAAAACACTGAGGTATAGTGAAAATAGTAAGTTTAGAAGACAATGACACTACACTCTAACCTCAAACATGCCTCTCCTTTGCTGAGACTTTGGACTAATCACTTTAATTTTTTGAATTTTAATTTATTTGTGAAATGGTAGCAATAGTACCTATATCCAAGTAAATCACAATATTGTTGTTAAGTTTTAAATTATAATAAATGTACACGATTTTTTTTTGTTTTTAAATGATGATCTACTTAATTTGGTTATTTTTAACTTGTTACTTACGTGGGCATTTCTTGACACAAAATGCTCCATATGTATACTTTGCATTGAAGTTATGCTCCAGTTGAAAGGTGGTTGGATTATAGACAAAAGTTTGAGGACACTGAGTAACACATGCTCCACTGTCATTGAAATTCATGCAGGCCTGCAACATAGCAAATATTAATTTCATTTAAGAATAACCTTCATAGGGCATCTGGGTGGGTTAGTGGTTGAGCATCTGCCTTTGGCTCAGGTCATGATCGCAGGGTCCTAGGATCGAGTCCCATATCAGGCTCCTTTACAGGGAGCCTCCTTCTCCCTCTGCCTATGTCTCTGCTTCTCTCTGTGTGTCTCTCATGAATAAAAGGATAAAATCTTAAAAAAAAAAATAACCTTTATAATACTTGTTAAAGGAACACTGTTGTAACAGCTTTGTGAAAAGGATGTGTTCTTTACTTATAATGTTTATATTTATATATATATGTATGTGTGTTCTAATATTTCAAAAAAATATATAAAATGTGACAGCTTTATAGTTAATTAAGTACTACTCATTGTTAGGTTCACAGTTGCACTAAACTTCTCAAACTTACAAAACTGTTTTTCCAATGTCAATGAATACATAATCTATACAAAGATATTGATGTTCAAGTCACCCAGTAATCTCCAAACTAATAATTGGTTTATTAAATTATTAAAATTAACTAAGAGTGGGGACACCTGGGTGGCTCAGCAGTTGATGGTCTGCCTTCAGCTCAGGGCATGATCCCGAGGTCTGGGGATCAAGTCCCGCATCGGGCTCACTGTACGGACCCTGCTTCTCCCTCTGCCTGTGTCTCTGTCTCTGCCTCTCTCTGTGTCTCTCATGAATAAATAAATTCAATCTTTAAAAATATATAAAATTAAATTAACTAATAGTAAAAAATCTTTTCAACTCACACTATTCAAAGGGTTTGTGGTGAGTCTCAGTGCTTGACACTGACAACAGACTCCCCAATTCTCTGTAGACTTTCCTTAAAGCTTTGTTTGCAAAACCCCAGTGCAGTAAGTGACACAGTAAGCATATTCATCACCATGGTATAGTGAGAAGATAGCGTGATAGTCATTGAAACTGGACTTGGAGAAAATGCTCAGGCAGGTGACTAGTCAAGTGTAAATATAGAATATGTAATGCCAAGATGAAGAGAAGCAGCCTATACTTAGCCCATAATTAAATAATGTGCTGCCATTTCCTATGTGGTCTTTTTCATAATGCCATACCATTTAGTGAAAGTCATCAAGTTCAAATAAAACAATTTGTTTCTTCTGACTCTTATATTTGTATTGAGACCTCAATTTGTTAATAGATTCAAAGGCACTTGAGAAGAATCAAAAAACAATTTTACCACATGAGACATATTTGATATAAAAATAGAATATATATATATAAATACACAAAAGCATGGTTTTCAAAAAAGGTGATGAACTAATTCTCTTAATTAAACAACTTAAACCTTCAGAGGAATAATTGAGACTTTGGAAGGTAAGCTAATACACACTCAAGCTATATTTCATATTTCATCATAAATTGTATGTATGGTTATTAATAAATACTAATTCATTCTGTTTCCTCAAAACATTTTCTTCATCAATTGTTGTTTTAGCAAGCACTTTATCACCAACATGACAATTCCCTGATGATGGTCTACTAGATGCATAATCAGAATGAGACTCACTCATGATACATTATTCACTAAGATGACATTTTCCAGGAAGAATCTATTAAAAAGCAATCTACAAAACTCAGTAAGTTTTAATTTATGGCTATAAAACTTCATGTGTCCTCATAATTGCTTTACGAACATACTTTATGCAGTGTCGTGCACGGATTGCTTGGCAACAAAGGGACATAAACTAAAGGAATCAAATTTACCTTCCAAACACAATGTGAAATTTACCTTCCAAACAGAATGTGAAATAATGTAACTTACACCAAGGCCTCGGTCTGTCGTTCTTGAACATTCTGTACCAAATGCCATAGTGGAGTCATTGGACCGTTCCATAAAAGTAATGAAATGAGAATTCTGAGACTCACCCGGCACGCTGCTTATGATGATAATGGAACCATGAAAACAAATGCAATGAAAACCTTCTAAGTGAAAGTTATGGCTATTGTTGGTGTTTCTTGTTGTTACTGGTTTGGGCTTCTTAACACACTACCTGCTTAGCGTCCTGCACATCAAGCATTATCCTGTGTTGGCTGATAGGCAAAGGACCTCAGGTCCTGCTAAGCCTCTTCCTGAAATTTTTAACGTTTCTTCACTTCCTCCTCTCTACTCACTTCCTCAATATATACTTTTGTTTCACTATAGGATTAGGGTCGACAAGTTAAGTTTCTTGTGACATTAAGAAAATATTATCTATATCATAAGAGCTTTAATTCATGTTTTGCTTATTTTCAGAGTTGTCAATATGAAAAAAAAATCAATTCTAAATATATATGTGTGTATTCTCTGGATATTGGAAAATTTAAAAAATGAAGTTCTGTTGTCAGCAAAACAATTTATTTTATGATTTTTTTAGCTTAAAATGAAAATAACGTCAGTATATGAGATTGTGTTAACTATAGCTCACAGAACTGTATTCAAAAAAAAAAAAACAAAACAGAAAGAACTATATTGGGGATACTAAAATGTAATTAAAACATGTCCCCAACAAGCTATAAATGTTAATTTTAAGGAAAGAAAAGTGGCCCTTTCTAAAATAAAATACACAGATTAGCATATAAATTGCTTTAAGCAATTTGTAAATCTTATAAATTATGAATAATATTAACTTGTAAACAAAAAAACTGGGAAATAGTTAAATTCATGAATTTATGAAATGTATAGCTATGATCTTAAAATTTAAATTTAAAAAAAAATTCAAGAACTCCCACTCAGAAAACTCAATGATACAACAACATATAAACAGGTAATCAATGTATATTTTGGAAACATGCTTTTAGCTTTTAAAAAGATATCTCAATGTGTTCCTCTTCACATTCTCTAATAAATCTCACCTGTAATATAAACTACATCTGAAAGACACAATTCATTTAGTAGAACAGAACAATCCTAGTTAATCAATAGCCACCCAGTGAGGGAATCAATTATAGGAAAGCAGAGCCTCTTTCTTAATCCTAAAATGGTTAAATTTGATCTTGTTTTAATAAGACTCAATGTGCCTGAGTCCAAGCAGGAAGGAGGGAGATGGGGAAGGTAGAAGGGAAGCTCCAAGACTTACAAAGCAGTCTGTGTCCTTAGGTCCTGAGCAGCCCCCAGCACATTCTCTATGACAGCAGTCACTGACATAGGGCCCATAGCACCTGCCATCACACTGTTCTGCACACACCGTCCTTGTCACTGTGGAAGACAGAGAGCGGACCCTGATCAAAGTCAGCCACCAAGAAAAACTCCTAAGGTGCTTTGAGTAGCTGAGAAAAGCTGAGCTTTCGGGTCACAACATTCAACCCACCATTGACTCAACACGATGACTCAATACAGCTAACAATTTGCCGAATGAAGCTTGCAACAGGTCAAAATCACTGTACAGAAGCCTTCCAAATGATACAAACATTTTTTTTTTATTTTCTTTCTTGTTCCAGCAAACACTGTGTTTTACAAAACCACCATACAACTTAGAAGGAAAGAATCAAATTTGAAATAATTGAATGAGGTATTTTGGCAGGTTGCAAAAGATGGAGTCAGCTGTGAAGTCAATTCACAAATGTACACAGTAAGGTTTTATGACAGAAGATATCCGCAGAAATAACCTAAGCTGTTTAGTGGTCAATGCAAAAAGGAGAAATATAGACTACTACATGATTCGCATTATATTTTACACAATTCATATCAAGTAGAGAGATAAATATAGATACAGAAAATTGGTCAGTAGTAGCATAACTTTGTTTTCTTGAGATTTAAGTGAAATTTCTACCAAGTTTCTTGTGTAAAGAACAGAGCAACATCCTCAAAAAAAAGAAGGGAGGAAGGGAGGGAGGGAGGGAGGAAGGAAGGAAGGAGGGAGGGAGGGAAGGAAGGAAGGAAGGAAGGAAGGAAGGAAGGAAGGAAGGAAGGAAGGAAGGAAGAAGAAGGAAGGAGAGAGACACATTCATAGTAGACACAACACAAGTTTCCATTGGTCTTATCCTATCCTTTGATCCAAGTTGACAGCACACTACTAGGATATGCTTTAATAAAAATCGATGCCATAGGCTGGAGCATCAAAATTATAGCACTGAAGGACACTTATCTCACTTATTCCAAAGAGATACATTTAAAGCACTTAGAGAAATGCATGTCACAGAACATGTACAGCACATCACATCTTCGCTTCTGTATTTCCACTTCAATCTGGTTTCCTTAGATCTTTCTGATTAGTTCCTTAAAGCCTCCTTCACTGCTACTACAGCAAGACTCTGCCCTTTAAACAACAATGTTCCCCAGAGCTGGTCTTGACAATTTTCTTTGGGTTACAGGCTCATTCCTGGATGAAATCATTCATACCACCTACAGGCAGATGACATCAGATCCAAATCTGAAGTTTCTATTGAGCAGCAACATGTATTATTACCAGCTGCCTACAGAAGACCCCATTTAGATGTCCCAAGATGTATATTATGAATGTGACTCACTTTCCCACCTCTACCAATAGAGCACATCTCCCTCTTCCGTACCCTTCTTGCAGTTATTGGTAGCACCATCCATTCAGTAGCTTGGCTAAAAATTGGGGACACATTTTCTATTTCTCCTTTTCCCTCACCCTCGCTTCTCATACCTAACAAAATTATCAAATAAAATTACCAAGGAAGGGACGCTGGGTGGCTCAGCAGTTGAGCATCTGCCTTTGGCTCAGGGCCTAATCCTGGAGTCCCAGGATCGAGTCCCACGTCAGGCTCTCTGCATGGAGTCTGCTTCTCCCTCTGCTGTGTCTCTGCCCCCCCCCCCGCCCGTGTGTGTGTGTGTGTGTGTGTGTGTCTCTCATGAATAAATAAATAAAATATTTTTAAAAAATTACCAAGGAATATTTCTCATTACTGTCCCTCCTCTCTACTCCAACTTTGTTTGGAAAGTAATCTCTAAATAACTACATAGCCTTCTAAAAAGGTTTCTCAGATCCCAATTAATCCCCCACGCTGTTCTAAAAGCAATGACTTGAAAATACAAGCCACTGCCTATAAATCAAATGCTGTTTTGCATAGAAAACTTGTCATCCCTGTACTAAAGGAGTAAAGTCCTTAGCAAGGCATAAAAGTCCTTTATCACTTAAATACCATCTCTGTATTTAATGGCATCTCTCATTGTGCTCCTCACATCCAACCACACACAATCACCACTTGTGATTCCTGATTTCTTGTATCATTTCTAATTTTGACTCTCATTACCTTTTTATAATGTTTTCTTCCATGCTAAAAGCCTTTCTGTCTTCTTCGCCTAGCAAATACCCATGTATAAGATCCAGGCCAAATGTCACTTTCTCTCTGACATCTCCAGATATGTCTCTGGGATGACTTCGTTTATCACTCTTTCTTCTGAACAAGGGAGAAAGTTAATGCAGATTCTAAGTGGCCTAGGCTCAAACCCAAACTCTATTCTTGTGATGGGCAAGTTATTGAATATCTCTGTATTTCGCTTTTCCAGTTTTAAAAAGGCTTTAGTATTAGTACCTACCTAACAAGATTGAAGATAGAGATGTAGGTATAAAGTGCTTCACAGGGCCCCTGTTAATAGTGCCCAGTAACTGTTACATATTATTTCACTTACCATACTACATTGATTTTTTGTTTTGTTTTGTTTTGTTTTGTTTTATGTTTGCTCCCCCTATTACCCTATTAAACTATTAGAGTAGTTTTTTGAAGTCTATTGTCTTATTCCTGTTTTTATCCTTAGGGACTGGCATTTAGCATACAAGAAAGTAAGTATCCTCTCTAACTAAATAAATCACATGTTGCCAACACAATGAGTTATTTGTAGACTGCTTTATGCACATATCAGAGAAAAAAAATGTAGGGGCACCTGGGTGGTGCAGTCGGTTAAATGTCCAACTTTTGGTTTCAGTCTAGGTTGTGATCTCAGGTTCATGGGGTCAAGTCTCCCCCTACGGGGCTCTACCCTTAGTGCTGAGTCTGGTTAAGACTTTCTCTCCCATTCCCTCTGCCCCTCCCCACCGCACTAGCATGCTCTCTCTCTAAAATAAATAAAAATAACTCTCACAGAAAATGTAGAGAGTTAAAGAGGTAGGGCACTAACACTAAAAAAATGCAAATACACAAATATTAAAATACCAAGAAACAGAGCATATAAAAATGCAAATAGCAGAATTGTTCATGTTTATTAGTAGTTAATTTAAATGCTCCTTAAATTCTGCTATCGATTACTTCATGACTCCATATTTCACTTGGATCCTTCCAAATTGAAAATGATTATGATATTCATAAATGGCACATAATGTTTAAATATGAACCATATTCCTCTGTTGGACATGATTATATTCCTACCTATGTACTAAAAAAAAAATCAATACAAACATCAAATAGAGTTTAAACAGAAACAACACTTGGACTCACTCTATGTTTTGTTTTTATTTTGTAAAAATAAAGTTATATGAGGGGTACCTGGGTGGCTCAGTCTGTCAAGTATCTGCCTTTAACTCAGGTCATGATCCCGGGGTCCTGGGACCCAGCTCTGAATCTGGCTTCCTGCTCAGCAGGGAGTGTGCTTCTACCTCTGCCCCTCTTCCCATTCATGCTTGCTCTCTCTCTCTCTCTCTCTCTCTCAAATAAAGAAAATCTTTATTTTTTTAAGATTTTATTTATTTATTTATTCATGAGAGACACAGAACAGTAGAAACACAGACAAAGGGAGAAGCAGGGTCTTCCCAGGGAGCCTGAGGTGGGACTTGATCCCAGGACCCCAGGATCACACCCTGAGCCAAAGGCAGATGCTCAACCACTGAGCTACCCAGGCATTCCTCAAATAAATCTTAAAAAAAAAAATGCACTTACAAATCCAGACTTAAAATGTGTCTTTTTCAAAATCTTCTATAAGATGATAAGAAGTATCATATAACTTTATTTTTTTAAGATTTTCATTTATTTATTTGAGAGAGAGAGAGAGAGAGAAAGAGAGAGGGAGAGAGAATCTGAAGCAGACTCCATGCTGAGCACAGAGCCCAACTCCAGGCTTGATCCCACGATCACCAGATAATGACTCCAGCTGAAACCAAGAATTGGACACTTAATGGACTGAGCCATCCTAGTGCCCCTGTGAGGGCACACTTTGCACTTGAAATTTGGAGAGCATTAAATTTTGAAATCATTTTTTCTGTTAAGTATTCTAAAAGAAATTTCTACATAGTGGGGACCTGGGTGGCTCCCTTGATTAAGCGTCTGACTCTTGATTTCAACTCAGGTCATGATCTCAGGGTCCTGGGTTCGAGCCCTGTCTTGGGTGACCACTCAGTGGGAAGTCTGCTTGAGATTCACTCCCACTCCTTCTGCCTCTCCTCAGTTGCACACATTTGCACTTGCTTTCTCTCAAATAATTTTTTTAATAAATTTCTACATAGTAAATCAATTTGGCCTGTCCCTTTATCTTCTTTCAGTTTTTGCTCAAACCTCAGTTTCTGAGTAAAGTCTATCCCTATTCAATACTGAGTTCTTTCTGAACTACTAATTTCTGATGACTCTTTCTCCATCCCCTCTCTCCCCTTCTTACCTTTCTTCTTTCACTTTTCCTTTCTTCCTCCATCTATGTTATAGCATCAATCACGATCTGATATATTTTACAGCTCACTTATGGCACATTTTATTTATTGGTAGATTCCAATGTCTAGAACTGTACCTGTCATCCATGTAATTTTTGTTTATATTTTATATACATCATATATACACAGTACATATACATTATATACATGAAATACATCCAAACAAATTATAACCACTCATTAACTCTTCATATTCATACATTAGGGTTACATTGATGTTCCTATCTTGTATCCAAGTAGTGTATTTATTTAGATACTCTAATTAGTAATGAATACTTTTTGAAGGAAACACTTTCAGTAGACACTTTTGTAAAAACTAAATTCATATATAATTCATCTCTTCCAGATTTAACAAGGCTTTTTTGATGTACCAAATTTGCTAATTGAAATAGCAGACATATGTTAAGTAAACAAATTACTAGATTTGAAATTAGTGTTATCACAGAATAGTCTATTAACTTGCTTTAAATTGACAGGCATTGCTCAGCCAGAAATAGCACGAAGCCTATTAAAAGCAGTAATAGCCTATAAGTCACACCATAGTTTAATCTTAGGCACATATGTCTAAGTGTTCATTTCTATTTTTAACTCTATGTTT